CGCCGCGCGCGCCCAGCCCCATGGTCTTCAGACCTGAAACTTGGCAGTCTTAATCTCACCCCCATTCCCTGTAAATGCAGTGCGACAGTTCGTCCATCGGGCCAAAAAGCAGTCGCAGGGATCGTCCATAGCCGCTATAAGCCACTTTTGCGGGATTTTTTTACTAGGGCTCGCTCCACATGAGGGCGATATTCGCCGCTTTATCAGCGTTGGCACGACTTGGGAGAAGAGTGGTGAGATTAAGACTGCCAAGTTTCAGGTCTGAAGACCATGGGGCTGGGCGCGCGCGGCGCCATCGTCTAATGCCTCCTCATTAGCAGCCTAACCATCTGAACGTAGGCGGCTTCGCCGCCCCGCGGCTGCGTAACTGCGTAGCATAACTCGTGAGCGTGGCCTGTGTAAAGAATCTAAGTCCCGTACATCAACTTGACGTTAAGGTACAGTCCGCAGTAGTCCCGTACATCAACTTGACGTTAATGTACAGTCCGCAGTAGCAGGATAAGCACAGTGGGTGAGAGGGGAAGCTCAGTGTGCTACCTTACGGTAGCTCAACTGGTCATAAGATAGTAACTGATTATAAAGAAGGGGAACGGGAAAGAGACCCCAACTAGGGTAGGTACAGTACTAGCATGATGGTAGTAGGGTAGTGGTAGTGTAGCGTACTGTACTACAGTATAGTCATGGAGATAGAGAGATAGAGATAGAGAGACCGACATCAAGGTCAGTCTATATTCTTTGCAGCTTGGCCACCGCAAAATAATAGTTAATATTTCTATGGCGCGCGCCAGCCCTATGGTGGTTTCGGGCCTTGTTCACTAGGATATATCCTAGGGGCTATACGGATATATCCTGCACGTTGTGCTACGGGAAATAGCATGGGGGACGACAACTGGCAAAATTCTGAGGAAATGGCGTTCATCCCAGAGCAAGTCGAACCGATGTTAACTTCTGTGCTAACCGCGGTGTTGGCTAATGAAGTCTACGACGAAGCAAAAGTAGCCACATGGGTCGATCTGATCTGTGACAGATCTATGGAAACCTTGACGAAATTGAATAAACCATTCAAGTACATTGGTATGTTCCGATGATAAAACGCCGTGCTAGAGTTTGGAAAACGACTTCGTAGTTACCTGTTTGATCATTCAAAAAAATGGCGCTGGCATTCACACGGGCCAATCTTGTTTTTGGGATATAAGGTGCTCTGAATGCTATCTCAAAATT